CATCTAATTGTCACGTACAAGATAAAAAAAAAAAAAGAACAGCAAAATTCAACTAGTTCTCTGTTCTGTTACATTGAAATCGTGTTGTCTTAGATATAGCGTATTGAAGACGATATCACACATCAGTCAATCTAAAAAAATTTGTATTTTGTAAAGCGGTAAATTGCATCGCCTTTCTATTAGATTCTCAATGCATATACAAGACGAGAAAAATCAAATTGGCAATTATTGCTAGGAAATAAAAAATCATACCTTTTTAAATTTTTACTAGACGTTACTGCTCAGACTGGAACGCTTGCCGTTGTCTGTCCTATTGGAAATTTCTTCGGTGTTATGAGCGCCTCTGCAGACTCCGAGTGGCCATAAAGACCCATAAAAACATGCCAACATAGTTCTTCGGCAAATCCGTTTTGAGCATTCTAGAAAAAAAATATTCCGATAAAATGGTTTATAATATATATATATATATATATATATATATATGCTTTTATATCCTGCGCCACTCGAGGGCTAACAAGAAGCGCCTCCTTTTCTAAGTACGCGTTTCCCGTTAGGACTCCTAGGTCATCAGTATTCAATTGGTTTCATGTATGGTGTCTTATTATACACCGATTCTTTTCACTTTGGTTTTTTTGCTCAGTTATATAAAGTGTTAGTTTAGACCATTAAATTAATTTAACGGTTCCCTTTGTTGGATAGGAACTACGAACGTAGTCAGAGCGATGCAAGGTAATAATATATAGTTGCGAATGGCTATAAGCCGCGCGACGGGTAACTATTTTACGACGCTTCGATGATTTAGCATATATACTAGTTTTTTTTTTCGAAAACTACTGAATCTATTCCCACGAAGTCGGAAAAACTAAAATTAAATAGCAAATAGTTCTAATACAGAAAACATTCCGCAAGTAGGTCTTTCTTACGTGTGTCACGTAAGCGTCTATAGAAGACGCGTTTGCCCGCCAAACTTCAAAATACATGAGGTGATCTAGATATTAAATGGGGAACAAAAGGCAGCTGTCTGGCATAATGGTCAACTTAGACAATAGGGGATCTAGAACTCAAACGGATCGTTTAGATATGTTGAGATGAGTCTAGAATGTATTAGATTTACCTGTGGGGTTCACTCGCGCTTTCCAATATCTGGTCGAAAATTTCCTGACAGCGCAAGATTGTAAATAGTGGATTTAGACAACAGTAGGCGAAGCTGCGGTTTTCATTTCACGTCTGTGTGGTTAATAATCTAACTCTTTCAATTTTCTATGACTCTTTAATATTACATTTAGTCTGAGGTAAAGAGTCGCATACATCAACTATTATTTCATTGCAGTTACTCCGCCCTATACAGTCCTTACTCTTCTTTTAGTTCTAATATGTGTTTTACATAATATAGCGCAAATTTTGGTGCAACTGCAGAGTCATCCGCTTCCAGCAACCAGAAATCAATTTTAATTGAAGCTATCTCGTTACTATAACAGTCCTATTTGCCCGATTCGATCAATCCACCTTGCTACCTTGCTTTATCCACCTCCTTATTTCTCTGGTCCCAAATATGCCGCTCTTTTATTGCCCTGGATCTATTATCACACTGCGACAAAAAAACTGATCTTAATTTAAATAACATACATAGTCAGACAACTGCTGCTCTACTTGCACGTGCGCGCGGTGCCAGTTTGATGCTTTACCGGACTCAAAATATCTATTTTCTTAGTTATTCCCGTTTTTTCCCTGTCAACACTCCCTGTTGCACTTATATGGTTTCGCCATTTTAATTAATTCCTCCTTTAGCTTCCGTAATGGTATATCTTATCAGTTCTCAATAATTTCAGCAACGATTACATTTATATTTGTAGATTGCAGAAAAAAAACATTCAAAATGTTCTCTCAATATGAAATATGCCTCTTGTAATGTTCGAACTGTTTTGAAGAATAGAATAAATTGTGATTTACTTCCATGAACCCCGTTAAGGTCATTTTGAGGCCGGAAGTGTGCATTTGGTCGATCTTGCCTCTCTCCTTAAATCGCCATTTTGATAGTGTGTCAGACGCAATTTACGTTGACTCAATTTGAACTAAGCCATGCCCCAACTTCTGCATTGATATTTTGTGCCTATTTTCTAGAGCTCTAAAAGAAAGTACTTTCCAATGCAAATCTTTCAGCAGTCGTCGAACGAACCGCTAAAAAAAAGATCGTTTTCTCAAAATTAGCATTACGTTCAACGAGAAAAGTATTCATTCATCTAGCCGAAAAAATACTAAGCGGACTAAGCCAATTCATATCTTATCACCCATTCTGCCAATTAACCAAGTTAGTATTATTTGTTATCATAAAAAAAAAAAAAAAAAAAAAAGGATTCTCCAAAAGGGTGTTCATTTTCAATTTGATAATCAATTTTCATTGAAAGTTTCTTTTAAACCCAATTTTCCACTTGCCCTGTCCAAAGAGCTCTCGAATAAATTACTAAAAAAGGACCAGCCCACTGAAATAAACGTCTCATACAGTGCATTTTACTAACTCTTAGTCATTTTGGCAAAACTTTATCGTTGAATCACAACAACGTAAAACGTCGAAAATTACGCTGAAAATTTAATCATTAATAGTAATGATTTTGTCGAGCTTGAACAAACATGCAACTTTACAATCTAACCCATTAACAAATTCTCAAGTGTTGTAGACCAAACGAGAAAAGAGACAATTCACCCACCAGGTTCTATGGGAAACCAAAGCTCAATTTCGTAAACAAACAGACAAATATAGACTAAACGTTAATAGTACAGTAGAACTAGATTCCGGAGTAAAAATATGAAAATATAGATCCGCGCATGGAGACCATTTCCACGTCGTGCATCGCTACGATCGGCTTTGACAAAGAAGATAGAAATATATGTTTCAAATTTGTCAGTCTTGTTCTACTGCGTTAAGCATCGCTAGGCAAAAGTGGGATATATTGCTATCGGCTCTTAGCCTTAAGCGGTGAATGATATAACAATGCTACCGGTCAGTATGTGTGAATGATATTTGCTGGAAAATCACTGAACCGGTTTCACTCAAAGGAAACGACTGCGCCAAAAAATTAGAGAAAAGAGAGCAAAGCGTTTATATACAAAGCTGAACTAGTGAAATGAATTCACTATCGTAAGCAACTTACGGATTGGCATAGCATCTTATTTCAAGTTCCGACACCTCCGAAGTTCCTTATGATGATCTATAATAAGTTTTTTCTAACTTACTTAACACTAATTTAGTTGATTAAAGTCTCGATAATAATAATAATAATAATAATATGCACTCTGAAACCCGACCAACAGCATTTGAAATCAACATATCACTCAACACGAGTGAGCTTCCCGACTGCGTATTACTAAAGGCATTTTGCTAAGTAGGTGATCTAGCTCATTTCAATATCACCAGCTAATTTGTGGCATTCAAATGCAAAAAGTGCATCTTTGTAAACAGAAACAAATCAACGCAGGACTCGAAAGAGCAAGCATGTCCCGCTTGGAGAGTATGTAACTTACGATGTAGATAATACCGTATAGATTATCATCGAACTCACAAGTGTGGGTTATGAATACTTTTATTAAAAACCTTAGTACTCGATATACGAGCAAATTATTGAGCTTAGACGTTCACACTATCAAGGTTAATCATTTGTATCCAATGAACTAACGTACGAAAAAATCATATGTGTGTGAAATACGTGCAATGTGCCGATAATATGTATGCCGATATATGTAGTCTTTTGGTAGCGCAACGGCAACGCGTTTGTCTATAAACCTCTAAGATATCTAGTGGTAAGGGTCGTGTAGAACTTAAGAACTTGGCCCAGTAAACGCACTTCGTTTAGTGCTAACCCGTCAAAAGTTGTGCCTGACGGCAGTAGCGGACGTATAGTTATAAATTACCTACATAAAACTTACTTCTAACGGTCATTGGCCATAAACTGTAAATTAACACTAAACCCACCTACCTACATGCTTAAACGTCAAACACCACGTCTTCCATCGACTGTGGGTAGCTCGTCAAGAATTCTGTATAACAATTTAATAAGAACGACGTATCCAGGGGTCAAAATAGAAAAGTTTATCAATGCTTTTTCCATGATATTTCGCAGATGCGATCGCAGCACATTTCATATTAGCTCATTATGTTCCTGTTCGTGTTCTAATTTGTATATATACATATATATATATGCTGAAGCCTACTAATTGTTGACATCTCGACATGGATCTCGACCCTGTCGTGGGCTCAAATAATCGAATAGTGGTAGCAAAAAGTTTTTCTACTCTGCTTTGTATACGATATACTTTTATCCGTTATCACTCTAAACGTCCATAGAACTGCGGCCAAAAGTAAGCAGCAAATCAAATTGTGACTATTCTTAAAGCATTAGCACTTTTTAGTTTCACTCAAACTAAGTGCCTGACGAGTCATCTTTTCATCTGATCACACATGAACGTCTGCTGTCAGTATCTCTAATGGAGATCCTGCCATTATTAGCTATTGGCTATATTGGCTAGAGATTTTTCGATGTACCGCTTGGGAGACTACGCTTTTTTCGAAACAATAAAATGAATGCAAGAAGGGGCCCTATTATAAAATCTTGAGGGCTGAGTTTGGAATAATATAATTACCGAGTTCATGCAAAATTGAAGGTGTTCCTTACGGGAGACTTAGAGTAAATACGTCAACAGTGAATAAATTAGTCGTTGGCCATTTCGTTGTCGATCCTATTTTGTAACTTGAATATATTTACCAATCGTTCGAACAACGCTAACGATAATTTTGTACTTTTCCAATACTATTAACAACAAACATAATGCACCTTATAAAAATGCAACAAACGCTTTCAGAATTACCACGTTCAAATAACCGACATAAAGTCAATACGAAATGTCCCGTAACCATAAACAGTACATTGTTAATAAAACACACGCGTGAATGATACGATTTTTATCGGAATTTTTATTACTATTGTTAATAGAGCTGCTAAAGATTATTTTTTTTTATTAAAGAATTTTAATAATTTACAGTAAAGATATTCGTTGGAACATATCATCTTCGTAAAATAACCTACGAGACAGTGTGTTAAGGATGTTGCAACTTTTCATATACGGATATAATTAATGAAAGTTCATCGATACTGCATATCCGTTCCAGTTCCTTGCAGCACAGGATCTGGAAGCGACAAAGTACATACGCTCAAGAAGGAACAGAGCCACTGCGCCTGCAGCACCAGAGAGCCATGTGTAGTACGTAACTTCAATGTCCTAAAAAAATATAGCACGTGTTAAAACATACACACATTGTTGAGAGATTTGATGCAGAAGTCCACTTAGTTTGTGAATACAGTAAGACGTAAATAGAGGTACAGGGAATGTTTGTTTATGTCAAGTAAAAATACTATTTGTTTTACTCATTCTCTTTCATAGATACATGGTACCTCTATTCTATTCCAGACCCGCTGCACAGAAAACAGCCGCTCATGCGCTTAAAAAGGGTCCTACTCATAGGTAATCGTTATAGTAATCTCTTACTTATTATACGAAATCGCTATCCTCCACATAAAAAGAGCCTACATTCATATATAATACATACTGTATTAACAACTATTCCAGTTGGCCGGGTCGATGATCTTACTATTTAAATTTCTATGAAGTAATTTTTCGTACTAGATTAAGTCTCTTTAGCTTAAGGCAAATGCTTTTTAAAACCTATTATTACAGAAAAAAATATCACTCATTATATACTATGTTAAGGTGAGATAGAAAGAAAACTATTGAATAAGCCGCGAATATCGTCTCGGTGCAACCTGAATACTTAACGCTTGGACGGTTTCGCTTTGACCTCGTGATCGCGACGCAATGCATGCATCGTTCCCGTCAAATATTTCCAGAAATTTCATAAATGGTACATCCATCGCCGAAAGCCACTCTATCCTGAATAGTATGCAAGGAGTAAACGTATTCTCAGTATCATCAAAGATCAGAATTTGCTAATATTTTTTTTTATATTTCGCATAAACTGTGTTTTTTTTGTGTGCCAACTGATTTCATCAAAGAATTTGTGCTTTGGACCGTTTTCGTCAAAATGGATCACGCTCAAGATCGATAGAAAGGGAAGCAAATTCATAACGCTTTAAGCAACAGCGTCTTCCATGGAGTCGTGCAACGGAAGGATGCCTTAAAAAAACTAGCGGAAATAGTATTTAGCGGAAGCACTGTTAGGTGCTGAGAGGATCTAGCAATATGCAATTACCGCAATTAATATGCAATTAATAGGCTTACCGACTTGCGGTCAACATGACACAAGAAAGCCAATAATTTGAGTATATAAATATATAGCACTTTCCATAGGTAGAGCCCTGGCTATTTCGTCAGCCTGTATAAAAGGTTTATTCTTAAATATTTAAGATATGAACGTACTAACTTGCGGTCGAAGGCCTCATTAAGTCCTTCGGGAAGATTCTTAGATGCTAAAAATACCGGCACAGTATCTACGAGACTCTGAGCGCTGATGTAATAGAAATACCTGCAACAAATAATGAGAATTTAATTCAGCCTATAACGACCAGTTCACGAAATTTGTTAGTTTAAGGCGTTTTTACGCTATCACAAACTGTTTATATTAAGTTACGAGAAAATGTCTGGCGAAAATGCTATTGGCTCATGTAGGTACTGTCGGGCTATGTGAATTATAAATCATTAAACCATTAATTACTTGATAACAATGATTTGTGCGCGGCCTAAAATTAAACACCTATTCGGGGATCAATTAATCGGCGGACTTTTAACGGACGTGTTTATGTTTGTAAGCTACCTCCAAACTTACTTGGTTGTTTTGCACCATCTATATACATTTTTCCTGATGCTTGTAACGTCCATTATAACAACGGCCTGACCTAATAAACAAAAAGTCACAACATTAACTTACCTAATAGTTTATGGTGCATTTTGGCTTAGTGTTTTTATTTCCTTATTATTATCTTTGACTATTGATATTTACTACAATCGCGCTATCTAAGCATGTTATTCCAGTATTTCCTGCGTTACCATTCCATGATGTCGTAAATAGACAAGCCGTTTCTTCTGCGAATTGCTACTGACAGCGAATGCCCTAGTTAGTCCCGTCCTTTTCATACGCATCATTTGTATAGGATTTAGTGAGCCTTGAGAGTTCCTTTGATAAATACCTTTGTCCTGCGTATCGCCCTGCGAAAAACCGCACTTAGCTCAGTATATCTAGACACGTGAATTTCAGGTTCAAGTAAAAATTTTAAAACCGCAGGCGCCACATTTAAGACGTTCACATTGTGTTCGTGCCCTGAACTTTGACAAAAAAACAGTTAAAGATACGTCGGAATGCAGTACAACAACGAATTTTTACCAATTCGAGCCCTGTGTTGGCTACTACTGAAGGGGTTACGCACAACTACGGATCGAGTATGCTGCTTTACGTACTCTGTGAAAAAGCTATGCTATATCTGTAACCGTAGTGTGTTCGAAATTGGTTGTTTTTTTCGACTGACTTCGGTACGGATTCGTTTGTAAACAAAGGTAGCAGTGGATTGACGTAAAAACCGGAACCAAGCTGTCTTTTCTATTCATTATTATCACTGTATGAACACTTTCGTCAGGCAAATGAATATGTAGGCTGAATATAGAATAAAGTGTAATTGTTGACGTGGAAACTCAGCAACCAAGGTCATCGCAGGACGATGGCAAACATGATACCAACCGAAAGGTTCGTTTAGTAGTACATCCGTAGGCGTTTGCTGATCCAAAATAACCTATTATTCGCACATAAACGGTGATAATGACGTGTACAGGACAATATTTTAGTTGGTCCTGTTTAGTATGGTCCAAAGATCATCTATCATCGTCCTAGTCGGGAAAAAAACTAGGATACACAATCGTTTATAGGCCAGAAATTCAATAAACCGAATCTCTTTTGTGAATTTTTAACGTAGCCTGTAGCCAAGCTGGAACACCAAGATATTTTCAGAAGTGATGTTCAGTCCGGAAAGGTTTTTCAGGAACATTGGCTAAACGCGAGGCCACAAGATAAAGCTAATTCTTTGTTATATAATTTCAATGAAGTATTCTAAGGGTCCACACTATGCTGTTGGAGCTAATTTCCGATCAAAAAGTTGCTCTTAGCCTTTCTTTTACGGTTGCTACTGGTGCTTTTGGCGCTCTTCCCAAAATACATTGTCGAAAAAGTATTTCCAGTAGGTGACAAAAGCTAGCTGAACCTGAAAGTTACTTTGGTTATAAGATGATTTATATAGAGAAACCCTGATTGTTCCACTCTGGTTCTTAATGACTCTGCTTAACGGAAAGACAGTGTGTTATAGAGTTACCTCTTCTGTGGCGTACATTTGATAGCATCGAATTCTTGTAGATGGTATGGTATTGTCTCGTCAAGTAATCAGCGTTACGTATACAACATGATCCGTTACTTGGATGACAAGTGACGGCTTAAATCGCTGCTCTGACAGCTGTTGACTCTGATTGTCCAGTGTAGAGAAAACAACAGTTATATAGATTTTTTAGCGCTTTCGGCCAAATCTGAGCAAATTCTCAAAATCTCCTCTTCGGTATAGCACCACGGACCTTGATCCATCAAAAAATTTAGCCGAGGTGAATAGTGCTCGACTTTCTTTGACAGACCTATGAAACGGCGTGCTAACTATTTGTTAAACATGAAATTCAAACTGGCGATAACAGCGTGTTTCTACTAATCATAACAATCGCTGTCCTATTTACCAGTGCTCTACTGTGGAAAATTAAGCATGACGGGGTACTTCTTCGCATATCCCAAAGTTTACTCAGAAAAGCAAGGATGCAGTCGCCCTTGTGTTTAAGTCATCTGACCCAAATTTTATTTTTTGCGGACCCCTTGGCTACGATCCTTGCGAGGATAAGCCCTCAGAACCATTTTTTCTTAGAGCATTAAGGAGTTATCTTACTATGTGAGGTAGCTGGCGTAGTGTCGATAAAGTTAGATAACAAGCGCTTAAATTTACCTTGCAAAAGGACTCACCACGGATGAGGTTATCTTGTGTTTCTGTATTATATATTTCCGATATGTGGACACCCTTGCTATTCTTTTCCATATGAGTTCGGAAGGGTTCACCTCGTTCATGGGTCATCTCCTGTGGGAATTGTACATGCAAATGTTGAACTGATTGTTTTATACACAGACCTGCAACTAACAACAGAAATCGCATATTTTTTTGGAAAGGAAACAGATCACAGGGTACCACTGGGGGTGCAGACAAAGAAAGCTTTACTCATTTAGCGTGACACAACATATATATAGGATTTGAAAAATGTCAGTTAAGCTCCAATATACAGTTGGAATATAGTGGTTTTCGAATAGAAATGGCGTAGTTTAGCATAGAAATACTAAGCACAGAATAACATACATAGTTTCCCAGGCGTTAGGTTGCACCTACCGGGAAACAAAACTTAAGCCAATAAAGGTCTCTAAGATTTGAAAGTTAAGTCGATCCATTTTTTTAAAACGGATGTTTAAGCTTGTGCGGCACACCCCAACTCCGAATCGGCGATCTACTGAATATGGGTTGAATAATGACAAAATATTACTATACAGGCGAGTAATGCGAGTATAAAGGAACTGTGACGTGCAATTTTAAATATCTGTAATGTTTTTTTTAATTATATTACAAAAAATTACGGAGCCAAATACACTCACGTTAAGTAGTCCATTGATGGGAGCGTTTTTCGGGTAAATGATGGTTAATTCAGGCAGCTTGTTAAGCTAGAAAAGGCCGTATAAGGAACAACAAAAGCGTTATAGGTGAATGCTATAAGGAGATAAAATAAAATCAACGTTTCATGTGTACTTTTTTAGGATACATTCCATTTCATAAATAAAAATAATATGAGATAATTATGTTATTTTTAGGAAAAGGTCGACGCGTGTCTTATGGTAGCGAAAAGTTTTAGTTACCTAGTCCTGTATAAAGTCATTCCAAGTTATCCCATAATTATTTAATCCAAAACCCTCCATCCAGGTTAAACGAAATGGTATAGCAACATAGGTAGCTTCTGATATTTATCGTTTGCTTAAATTGTCCATTTACTCAAACTATATTAAGTTTGTATTCTGTGTTTTTCTCTTACAAATCTTTTTCTCCTACAAATAATTTCCTAATTAACATTTATCCTTACCATAGTAATTGTATCCACGCGTAATGTTGGACTCTTCACCGCTAGGGTGGCTTTTCCCTGAAATCGATTTCCGGCCGTTAGCGTAGCTCTGTTGTTAATTATGTGGCAGACAAAGTAGACTATAAGTAAACTAAAGACCGCAGTCAATCTCCGCAAGGACTTTTTTGGCAAGACTGTCTGATTTCATGTCCGTTTCCAGAATCTTAGAGAAGCTCACCTGCGAGGTGTACAGCTGACAAATGATGAAACTACTGGTTATCCAAATTCCCCCCACCAATTTCGTGAAGTACGCCTGAAAGCGATTTTTTGTTGCTGCACAATAGAATGTATAAATAAGTGTCTTCATTCAAGAAGGGGAAAGAAGATATGTTTACTACATAGATGATTACATAGTTACAACTTGTCTCTTCGAAGTCTTCAAGTATTATGGTATACGCCTTGGAAGAAGCAGTTATTTCTAAAACATAACCTGATCTATTTCTTACTCATGTTAAAGACCATCTTTAGTTGTTTACTCCGTGTTATGGTATTAACAAAAACAACTGTTGTTGTCGCCGGTAAGAGCAGGAAGAAAAATTGCCTAGTCGGAGCGATGAAGTTAAGTATTTTGATAACTTTAGCTAACTTTAAGCATATTAATAGAAAACCTACTGATCAAGCTGTATTAAACGACTGATGTGCATCATATAATATATGCGCTCACCACAGATAATAATAATTATTATTGTTATCCGTTTACAAAGTTGCTGAGTAGCTCTACCTAGATCTCGTCATCAATTTGAAAATATGGCGCGCTTACATTCTTGAAGAAACGTCTGCAGTACGATGAAAATTTCAGCGCTCAATCGCTGGGCGAATGGAATAGTCGTGCCTTGAACATATCTACGCAACGTGTCCATGCATGATATATACAGTTGAAAATTAGTGCCATGCTGCTTCAGTTATAGATTTATTTATTTACTTACAACATATACTAGACTATATAAGAATTACACAAAAGTTTATCATGTAACAGACCCTGTACGTATATTGGGCTCACGTTTAGAGCTTAAGTCCATGTTTAAGCTTGCTCAGAGCAAAGCTAGTTCCAGCTTTAGTATTCTGACAATGAAAGCATAGATTTGCTTGCGTGACTACAAATAAAAACAGTATCAAAAGCAAACAACAATTATAAGCGGACTTACTTTTGGTAAATTAGAACCAAAGCGACGAGAGCTATTGCGGATAACAAGATAGAGAACCATGTCTGTAAAACGAACAAGGATCAATTTAGAACGGAACAGATGACAGCAGAGCTACCCACTCGTGCATGTATTTCACGCAGTTGATGCAAAACACCCCATCTTTGTGCCAAAACAGAAAAATCATGTTTTGAGAGAATAGTGTAAGTCCAGAATAGGGGCAGAGCCATTGAAATATCAAATTGGTACGTAATGTTCATTTATTTTCTTTTTTGTTGCTTTGCCCTTTCAATGTCCAAGACAAAAGTTCGCAACGAGACTACAAAAAAATGTAATTCCAATAAAGCTAAGGGGTAACAAAGCTGAGGAAAAATAGAAGAGGAATTATTTGAAATTTATTAGCGAAGAGAAAATGTAACTAGAAAATAACATTTTTTTCCATAGCTTATTATCTGTTTGCTTATTATCAGAAATTAGGCACCAAAGTGTTGGATATTATATTTTGACGATGCAGTCAAATTTTGGACAACTAGAAGCTGAGCTATGATATAAAGCTATTGTATAAGCTATTTTTCCAAACTATAAAGTTTCACTTCGGGTGCTAATAGCGGCCCAGTAGTCAAATGGCAGAAAGCAGATCCTTCGACACCATCCACTTGTTTTTCATTCCAAATCACAAACAAAATTAGTAAGAAGTGCACGGAACGAACCTCTTGTCTGCGAAGCACACTGAGAAGTGATTAAAGCTAACAATGACACTTTTTACCTAGAGAGAGAGAGAGAGAGAGGGAGAGAGAACTTGTTCGGCGGGAAGTCGCGTAGGCCATTTTTAAAGAAGAAGCATAATCGTTAGGTATGCCTAGATATCGGATTTATTGAACCCAAATCGCATGTCTAGCAAAAATCCGGACTTGACAAAAAAAAAAAAAACTTCTTGACACCAGAAAAAAATATGAAAAACAGCATGTGGCGGAGATTTTGTTTTTTTTGCCAGTTGCAACGGCTATCTTTGAAGGGCATATGAAAACTATAGCCTTGTAGAACAAACAATAAGTTCTCCAGCTATAGCTAATACTTTAATCAAATGCAAAATAAAAAACAACAAGTGATCAACTACAACAATATGGTAACGACAGAAACATCTGATCGATAACTTGAAAATCATGTTATTCAGTTTGAAAGCAGATAATCGTAGTAGATAATCGAGCAAATGATGACATTTTGCAAGGATAGAAAATAAACTGAAAACGACCCCGATGTGCCGGAGATCCGCTCAAGACACAGTAACAAGGGTTAATATGTCTTAAGCAGCTATATATATATATATATATCTACACTGTCGTGATAATCTTGCAACGTTGGCTTACCTCTCCATCGAATGCTTTGGTTAAGGTTGAGGCCTTTTTTATCCACGCGCTTTGCATACCCGACAGAATCTTTGCAGATGTATATCTGTATTGTTAGGTACAAACAAAGATTGGACAAAGTATATCAACGGACAAGGGCAAACGTGTACAACGAAGAGTGCTTATTGACGAGCACCCGTATTCGTTTATCGGTAAGAATTAACTATAGAAATGGATTAAGCTACGTGATACGATAACAATACATGCGATGGCCTGAACAAAAAAATATCTGGACATCTGTGGAATTTAATTAATTTTTAATTAATCAAATTAAGCTTAATTCAGCAAAAGCAGAAGGTAGAAAACTATGAATTATAGGCTGACTAAATATCAACTGCTTTCATAAAATTAGTTTGTCCGTGGTTCCAATGCGAACCCTTAAAGCGCCTGAACTCTTACACCAATGAAGAATGCATGCTAAAATGCTCGTGAAAATACCGGTCAGCAATGAACGGCCCGAGTGCTAAATCGATCTCCTAACATAGGGAACAAAACGAGATGTAATGATCACATTAGTAAAGCGAAATGCTATAATGCTATGTTTATTAATCTCAATCCAAATTCAGTTTTTCTAAGATAGCTTGGCTAATTCTATTTCCGCACGATCGAACATTAAAAGAGGAATGTCTCATGGATCGATGGACATGGAGCTTGGCTTCGACGGATGAATTTGATTATGCCAAAACGACTATCCAATAGATCTGTTTCTTTTCTATACGTCACTTGAACAAGGCAGTACTACAGGTGTTTGGAGGATAGTTCCCTAAACCGAGAAGTTTTTACTTCCCGGCCGTTCTGGGAACCCAACCCTTAGGCGTCTGTCTCTGCCTATCTGGTGAGCCTTGCTTTGAAAACCCTTTTCTTCGCTATGAGCTCCATGTGAACCTACTTCCTTCATTTCAAGCTTCGTTGAACAAACATGTGTCTTATGAAGCTTCGCCTCTTACCGTCTATGAGAGTAGTCACAAGGACAGAATTGGTACAGCTGTATCTTCTGTGTCTCAGGGTAGAGCAGTAAGCCAGCGTGTAAAGAGAAAATCTTCCGAATCCTCAGGGTATATTGCACAAATGTCAAATGGAGCTCTTTCAGAGATTGCTCTGAAAGAGCTCTATGTCCCGTAAGGAACTGCGCTAGGTAGAAGGTGAATCTGCTTCTTTTCCTTTATACCCATAGTTTTATGTTCGATATTATGGACCTGATGCTGACTTTTGGTGCAAACCAACGAATGACAAACCAATCGTGCTCTCGCTCGTCTATTGCCTCGCTTAGATCTACTAGTTGCTTTGCCCATCCTTTTCCTTCGCCTCCAGGTTCCGAGAAATTCAACCAAGACAAGTGCCGCTCGTGTACTGACCACGCGGTACGCTAGGGATACAAAAGATCCCTTTGATCGAGTTTTCGATTGCAGGCCATCTTGTTTTTAGAGAAGCCCCATAGAAAGCTATGAACTCCACACTGCCCTAAGGAGCCTCCGGTTATCTTCCACGCCCCACAGATGCTAGGCATGAGCTTTGCAAGATCTCTCAAGATCTTTTCTGCACTAGCAAGTGTGTAACCTATGTGCGCCGATCAAGAGTGGTCTCCAAATACCGCGCTGTAAACGACGTTTTAATTTTTCCTTTTTTTACTGTGATGTTCAGCTCTGTGCATTTTGTTCCCTCCGGGTAGGAGAGTCGCATCCGATTTTAATTAAACAGGGTCTTTCTGAAAGCAACTTTAATGAATAAGGGATCTTTCCGCTCTACAAAGTTCAAGTAGCACCAAATTTCATCCATTTCACACGTTTTTATCCTATACAAAGCGCCACACTTGCTATCATTTTACATTACCGCCGACCGCGGAAAAATGGCCATTTTAAAAAAGAAAGCGATATGCAAGTTTCAAAATTTAGTTCTTAACGTTTACAAGTGGGAGGTTTGGCAGTAAAGAAACAGTTGGAGCATTATTAACACGTAACTGAAAGCCTCTAATTCTCAAAGTATTCTCTATAGGAGATCTCATGACCTTACCTAGCCTCCTGGTAATTCTAGACGTTTGTTGTAGGTTCCAGATGTCTATCTATTCAACCCGACCTAGACTTTTGATTTCCTTCACATATTTTATGAAGTTCAAACAGTACAGTCTAAAATGCGTGGGTCAAATGGTTAGATGGTTACAAAATTGCCTTTCGAAGCACTTCTCAAGTATCGAGCGACAGGGTAGATACATTCCCCAGTCAAAAACTATACAGATAACCCACTCCCTTTTGAAGCTGGAGGAGAGTGCCAGTCAACGTCATGTTAGGAAACAGCATCCCGTATTCTCCACGTGAGGCTGGAATTACCTCGTACCTAAAATCAATAAAATTCAAGTAACATTAGTCTGTAAAAAAAAAAAGGCTCTTGAAAATAAGATGAATGCAAAATAGCTAATCTCTTTTGGTGACGTCAAAAATACGCAATCAAAAATTCGTCATTGATCGATACAGCTACAAAGTACAAGTACAATTAACATAACTTACTAGAGCTAGGAGCTTTGGTAATAGCTTAAACGATGTGCCAACCATGTTCATTAGACTGCTCGTCATGAAAAAGTTAAATGCACAATTTGGAGAAAACAGGTTTACTCAACAACTTCAATATAGCTTCGGAGCTGAAAATATAATATTTTCACAAACTGTCGGAACGTGGTATCTTTTTCGAAGATAAACGAACAGATGAAGGAACACTTAGGCCCTACTTATTACACTGTCCGCACTTCGATCGTCGTTAGCTTACGTTATGTTTAGTGATTCCGTGATGTTGCCAATAAGCGACCCGACTATGCCGTGCATCCTAATTCTTCCTTTGGAATCCGTATAAGGAAGGTAATATGGATCGAACTGTAATAAAAGTAAATATCTTAACCATTAATTTGTTACACCGATAGATATTCAACATCAGGTCACAATTCGAGACGTGCCCTAATAATTTATAGGCCATATCGTTGTGTGATTATTCACCGAGTAGCTATTACGGTACCTTATTTCTCACACAGACGACGCTTCAGTCTGCTGATTGTTGCTTCTATGCACTATGGATCCAGCGTCCCCATGTATCTACTGAAGTCCTCATAAGAGCTCATTCGTGTACTGACAAATATAGGAGGTGTGCAGTAGGTAGGATGTGTGATAATCATACGGAAAAACATCAGAAGCACCATATAATGTATTGTCAACAATGTTCTAATTTCTATAGGAAGTAATGTTTAGTTTTGTTTTTATCGTTTCAAAGCTTCGAACATGTTTCTGATTATTTTTGGCGATCGATACGGCAAAGTGGATGCTGAGCCTGTTGACATGGAATAAGGAGGTCTGTGTTCTAAATTACTTATTTGTACGTATAGAAAAACATTACAAGTATAGTATGGGCAAAAAAAAACCTGTGATTTCAGTGGCTTGTACCTTTTAACTTGTACACTTTATCCAAATTAGTCCGTTTTGAATTGTTTTGCATTGCAAACACGAAATCTTTATACAAGTATCAAACGTAACTCCTTTTCAAAAAATAAAAACATAAAAAAGCATAGCGAAACCACCGAATGCAGTTACAAAACCATGAGCTGGTCTATTTTTATAGCTCTACAATTTCCATATGCAGAAAAACGTTACTATAATGAATAGTTTTCTTATTAGG